CTCTCTCTCTCTCTCTCTCTCTCTCTCTCTTACAAAGATTTGTTTCTGAAACTTCATGAAAACATGATCTTTCGCTAAAATTCTATGGATTATTTAATTTGACACGTATGTCTAAGTATAAATAGACTATTAAATCGCTACTTTGGAATCAGTAACTCAAAACAGCCAAAATAGTTAGACAGAACTTCGTCATTCTAAGTAATCTAAGGTAGCATAATCGAGACGCGCTTAATCAATTGCTTCTATACCGCAGGGTGCCATGTACAGCCAGACGAGACACCATTGTGACGTAGGCTTCCTAAACGACATGAAAGCCCAGTGTCGCCAGCATTACCTTCTCCCACAAGACTCAGGCTCGACTCGCACCCACAAGACCTTAGTTCTGAGAATCTTAAACCAGTATTATCCCCAATTCCAAGAAATCTATGGCCGTGATACTTCTTACGTCCTCCGTCGAATTCCTTTTCTGAGTCGAAGTCGTTGTCTGCGTACTGTGGGAAGGGTTATAGTCCTGAAGCACTGGATCATCAAACTGAACGAGCTGCTGAGGCGGGAATCTGAGGGTTTGCCTGCTGCTGCTGCTGACGACGCGGACGAAGACGGAAGTGCCGAAAACTATGACCGGATAAGTCTGCTCAGCTTGGCCCGGGCAGCGCTGTCGGCCTTCCGTCAGGTGACATCCGGTGTCACAGATGTGGGGGTGAATGCTTGCAATGCCTTCTTCGGAACCTTAGGGATCCCAGTTTTGAAGCGAGTCTTTATCCAGTGCGATGACGTGCAACTGTTGACGTGTCATTTTTTTGCTTTCAGTTACTACTCCGCTGTTAGCGTCTTTGGTGAGTCTCGTTACAGCGACAGGTCGCATGACCACTGTTCTGAGGCGTACGTTCAGGATTGTCTGCCAGAAGTAGATGTATAACGATAAGATAAGATAAGATAAGATAAGATGAATCTACAGTATCCAGATGCTGGCCCATTGGCAATTGGTGTTTCACCATAAACACACACACACACACACACACACACACACACACACACACACACACACACACACACACACACACACACACACACACACACACACACACACACACACACACACACACGACCATAGTGAATGAAGGCACGCTGTAGTTGTATAAGTAAGTTGATAAATATTTTTTGGTGCCATATTACTTTTGATTTTGATCGAGGGGCTTGGTTTATATTTTTTTCGATCCACAAAATTACCTTTCAAATGCCAATGTACCATACGTAATATCAATCCGTTTAAGCATGTCTGAATTAACTTTCTGAAATCAGCTTTTAATAAAATTTTGGCACATGATCTCTCTTTGTATTGCTTGTATTTTGGAAATATAATATATGAATAACAGTGGATTGCATTTTCTTGGTTGTTTCAGTCTTGTTATTCTGATTTCAAACGAGGGGAATATTAACTCCCATCACATTAAAGCATAGGGGCCTACTAGAACTGTTTTTTATTTGTTGTTTTGTTGCTGTTGTCGTTGTTTGATTTTTTAAAATTTGTTTGTTGTAGTTCTTTTTCCCGCTTTTCCTGTGAAAGACAGCTGTTATATAATATCCTACAATACCTACTGTGCTCCTTCAAAAAATGAAGCGTTTTTACTCCTCTATCGATACAATTTCCACCATTAATGAGTCGGGCTTCGATCCTACCTGCCAAAGTCATCCCGGACAAAGAGGGGTACAGCGTCCCAGGAGAAAGATACTCGATAAATTATATTCTCTCAACATTGAAGCAAACTCATGTTGGGGGCTCTGGTGGCCTAGATGTTAAGGTGTTTGTCTCTCATTCAATAGGTCCCGGGTTCGAATCCGGATAGCGACAGAAAATTTTGTTCTCTGAAATGTTCTCCTTTCACATCCTTTCCTGCTCTCTAATAATGTTCTGTCGCCTGCTTTCGTCTCCAATTTCTGCCTCCACCCCCTCACCTCCTTTGCCCCTTCCTCTGGGCGCCAGACTCTTTCAGCCTTTCTACTGCTACATGTACTCCTTGGCTCCTTCTTACTGCTGTCTTTCAGCCACTCCCCTGAGCTTATGTTAGGAAGGATCTAACACCTAGCTCTCTCGGAAAGGAGCTTAAAATCTCGGAGGTCCAGTGTGCAAATTGCGCACGTTGAAGATCCCTTAGTGGTCCATAACCGATAAGAGTAGGGTTTGGAGGCTGCAAGGGCCAAATTCACAATTTCCTACCTACTGAAAATATTATTTTACGGCGCTCGCAACTGCATAAGGTCATATATTATATGACCTTATGCAGTCGCGAGCGCCGTAAAACACTTAGATCTACCACACACACAAAAATAAACAAAAACAAACAAACAAAAAAAAACAAATAAACAGACACAAGCAACCCTCCCCCCTCCAAGAAAAAAACAAACCGCCAAAAACTCAGGTTTTCTGCACGTGATGACTGACCGCCAAACCACTACACTACAGACGCAAGGACCTCAGATACGGTACCCCCTTGCACAGACGCCAGACGCCAGCTTTGCACTTTAAGAGACGTTCAATGAAACCATTTTTTTCCTTTTTTAAAAATTACATTTGTTGTAGCCTAATGTCATCAGAAATTGATAGATGATCGTAAACCTGCTCAGTTTTTTTAATGGGTGGACTGAGAAAGCCTAGGTGGACGTTCAATCTTCTCGTCTTGAAATAAGAACTTTGATTTTTTATAAATTATTGTATGTAGGCCCTATTGCCTCATCTTTCATTAAACCCTGTTCATACTCAGTCGAGATTGATTAATTAAAGCGGTCTCCCATCGTCGAGAAAAAAAGTTGCTGTCTTAGACAGGTATAGTCGTCTTACATGGTTGCATTATAATGTGTTAAAAAAAAGTGGAAATGTTCATTTATACAGGTGTTTGTCTTATACACAGGTGGCAGTTAGAGAAGGTTCAACTGTATTTTCTAAAATTATCAAAATGTATTTATTAAGTTTTGTCAGTTTTGTTAAAAGTTACATAAAGTGCAGGCTCTCGTGTTGACTTTAGTACAAATCTTTGGCATTAGGAACAAATTGTGTTTCATATCTTTAAACAAAATGTAGGTGCTTTAACACCTCCACCGAACCAATTTTGACTAATCGGGGGACATGCTTCAACCTTGCACCCCCCC